TTGCACCCTGCCAAATTATGCACCCCCTAGTATTGGTAGGTTTAGGAGTAGGTGTGGGGGAGGGGTTAGGATTAGGGGTGGGGTTGGGATTAGGCAATCAGGTAGTGACTTCAACGAGGGGGTGCATAATCTGGCAGGGGTGCAGAATTCGGCACAACACCGGCACGGTGCCGGAGAACTTTAAGCCCTGTTTAATGTTAGCTGGTCATTTTGTGTCAGGATAAAAAAACTGTGAAATGTGTTTTGTTTTTTTTGTGTGAAAAGTTCATTTTTTAACCAATGAAGATTTTAGCAATTATTTAAAATGCATCTGATCACTCTACACAATAATCTAGAAACAATGTGAATGAACACCAAGCAGCAAACTTTGCAAAACACAAAATTTATGTCACTGACAAATCTTTTGGCCATGACTGTACTGTAGACTCAATAAATAACTCAACCGCTGGGTTACGTCTGACCCCAGGATCTGAGTAACATTACCCAAACCCAGGATTTTTTAGAGTGTAAACCACCACGCCTAAAAATAGCTTCTAACCACAGCATGTCCCACCCACAGCTGGGAGCCCATATACTTCCTTGATTGTTTCCTGCAGTCACGTGCCTGAGTAAAAAGTGATATTTCATTCAGTTCAGACGACAGAAGCAGGTATTGCCACCAAAAGACAATGTCCCTCACTGTGAAAAACATTTCTGTTACTTACAATCCTATCAATCAGAGCAATACCTTCACCAGCGGGGATTTTATATCGGGACAAGTCATTCTGGAGGTAGCGAAGGACACACAAATGCAGTCGTTGAGTGTGAAGATCAAAGGGAAAGCAGAGGTGTGCTGGAGCGAGCATTACGGTAAAACCACTGTTGTTTACTCGGACAAGGAGAAGTATTATTCCGTTGAGAGATTTTTTGTTCGGGAGGACAAAAATAATGGTAAGAGGAACTACAGCTGTAGGTTTTGTTTTAGTTTGAAGAAACCAGGTCGATTTAACCAGTTTTATTTTGTTTTGTAACTTGATCTTGTAGGAAATGAAATGCTGAAAGATCCATCAGGACAGCCGTGTAAGTCTGTTCGCGACTCAGATGAATATTACAAAAAGAGCTTTGAGAATTAAACTTAAAATATTCTGATCTTTGATTTGATTTTTGAATTTTCATAGATTCTTCTGTTGTGGCAACAGGGCGTCATGTTTACCCATTCACCTTTCAGTTGCCTCAACAGTAAGTTACGGGAAAAAGAATGATGAGAACAATGTTTTAAATGTACCTTTTTTTTATATAATGTTTGTATTCATGGTGTTTTCATAATTAAAAAAATGTATACCATTCAAACTAAAACAAAAATGCCAAAAGGCTACTTTTTGTCTTGAATACATGCAAATGAACACAACTTTGTTATTAAAAAGGTTTAATTTCAAGGATTTTTCTTCCATTTGCATGTTGATTATGCCACACTGACTTTGATTATTAATTAATTAAAACAAAATGCTTTGACTGCATATATTTAATATAAATATATTTAATGTATATTATATATTTTTCTAAAATATTAAAATAGTTAATAAAATGGAACTTCATGCCAAACTACTTTACCAATATATATATATTTTTCAACCTTTTAATGTGACTTATTCCTGCTGTACAGGTTTACATAAGGCATTTCTTTTCCCTATAGGCACTTCCCACCAACCTTCAAATGTTCAGTTGGAAAAGTTGTCTACACTTTGGAGACAAAACTATCCAGGTCAATGCGTGTTTCTAGCAAAGACAAAGCAGAGTTTCACTATGTCCCCAGATCAGATGAGTCCAATCCTGAACTAATGGTGAGATTACATGTAAAATCCCATGTATGGCTTTAGCATACATAGCCTATCTATATATTTTGAGGTTCTCTCACCTCTGTATTTTATGTTTTGCCTTGTTTAGGCACCTCAGTATGGAACCAAAGATAAACAAATGAAACTCTTCAACCCTGGGAGTGTCTCCATGAACATAAACACTGAGAAAATGGGATACCACCTTGGTAATGTTATATTTCTTATAACAGCTCAGCTGTCTTTTCTCACATTGTCAATAAACTCAAGTTTGATGTTTGTAAACAACCATTTCAAGGAAAGCCTTATTCAAACCATTTCTGTATATCTGTAACAAGATTAAATATATGTAAAATTGTAAATATCTTTGTGGAGTAGGTGAACACCGGTAGATGGACTTTTCCATGCTTGAGTTTCATGTTTACGGTCTGTGAGCACTCTTGTAAGCAAGTAGATTAAGATGAGGAACAAGGTCTTTTTAGATCATGTGTTTTCAGCTGTTGAATAACTGACAAAGAAGTTACACATTTCAGGCTTGAAACATAAACTTGAAACCATAAGTTCTCTCCCCCGTTTAAACCCACGCACCACTTGTAGAACTGGTTATACTTGTTTTTTCTTGTTCTTCTTCTGGGAAAACAAATAATTTACAGAGTTTGTACAATATGTATATATATACAATCAATGTTATCTGTACTGTACATTTTTTTTAATTTTCAGTTGTGTATTTTTATATCTCCTATTTAACATGCATTCTGAATTAAGGCAGACAGAGTCATAGTTTCTAATGATATTTTACCCAGTAATTATAATTGAACTGTCTTGTTGTGTTTCGCTACAGGAGAGGGCTTGAAAGTTTTGGCTGAAGTTCAGAACAATTCTTCCCGTGCAATCAAGCCAAAATACTGCCTGTATGAAAAATACAGTTTTTTTGCAAAAGGCAAGAGGAAACTTCACACACATGACCTGCTTAAAGAGGAAGGGGAACCCATTGAGCCGAACTCAAAGAAAACTGTCACCAAAGTGCTGTCCATTCCTCCCAGCCTTACCATCTCTATCCTAAACTGTAGGGTCCTCAAGGTTGAGTACAGACTCAAGGTGAGTTTTAGCATTTAAAGCAAAGACAGAATGGCATATCTCTGTGTTCTGTTTTTAATTTAAAGTTGGATCTCCATGTTAACTATTTTAAATCAAAGGATATGCTGATCGCTTATCTGAGATGGGTTTCTTTCTGTTGTCATTACCCATTCCTTATTGAATCATTTGTTTTTCAATATCTATGTTTTCTGTCTAGGTCTACCTGGATGTGCCATATGCCTCAGATCCGGAAATCAAATTCCCAGTTGTGATTCTTCCTCCTCAGACTGTGTCTGGTGCTACTAACAGTGACTTTGGAATCTGGAATCAACCACCAGAAAGCAATATGTACCCCAACCCACCTCCTATGGCTCCACTAGCCCCACCACATAATGTAGTTGGTCCACCTGGTCAGTTTGGTGCCCCTGGCTACTATGGACCTTCTCTGAGTCAGTTTCCTGCTCCTGGTTATCCTGGACCTCCGGGTCAGTTCGCTTCTCCTAGTTACACTGGACCTCCTGGTCAATTTGGTCCTTCAGTTTCACATCAGTCTGACCCATCAGCTCCACCTCTTTATCAGGAATATCAATTATATCCACAGTTGCCAGACCACCCAGAAAAATCCTGACAAAGTGATTTTAGAATCAGCTTCTAGGCTGCTTGTTTTATTACCGTTTTATCTAGATTCCTAGAATCATTTGTATTAATATGTAGCCTTTTATATTTTAGGTAGTGATGTTGACTGACAAGCTACCAACATTTTATACCATTTATTTTTGTGTTTCTAAACCTTCAGTATAGTGCTACATTTTACATTCAATGAAAAAGATAAATACTACTTTATTTATTGTTAAGAGTAGCCTATTGTCCTCTGGAAATGGTCTATGCTATATACAGTTTCAGGAAAAAAGTATGTGAACCTTTACACTATTTATTCAACTTGAAATGTTAAATTGTGACAACTTGACTAAACTTATAATTTTAAGGGAGCATAAACATATATATTTTCTAAGTTGAAACAACAGTTTTTTACAGTGTAGATTACTGTCAGTTTCTACATAAACTGTTACAAAATTTATTCAAAACAACAAGTTACAACAATTTAGACAAACAAGTCTGCTTTAACACAACCATATGTTTTCTTTGAACAGACTGTGACACTATTGTTCAACTTAATGTATTTGATGTATTTCTATTTATGAATTAAATGTAAAACTCAATTTACTCACATACATTATAGACTCATATATTATCTTGTTAACAGGTGGAAAACAGTAGATTGAGTAGTTTATTATTAGTTACAAAATTAGATCAAGATTTTTTAGAAGCTTACAGCAGTGGTCGCCAACTCGACTGGTAGATCTTTATCACTGTCCCAGTACATCCCGAAAATAACAGTAAAATAAGTACAAAAATGCATTACATTTCTGGGGTTATATTAATGTATCACTGAAGGGAACTGTCTTGAGAAAAGTTTCGATGGCAATGGTATTTTCTTCTCCGTATAAAGCGCAGCTCTGCTTTGTTTACAGCGGTAACCAAGGAAATTTAAAGTGAATGAAAGTGAGTGAATCATTTCATCATTAAAAAATTTCCCCCCACCTCTGCTAAAATGATAAATGAGCTGTTGTCAGTACAATTATCTGTATCATTGCCAATAAAGCATTAACATCTATTAACTCTAAGAATAAATAACACTCTTTAGCATTTTGTGATACCTGCACTTGTACTGACAACTTGATACCTTTTTAGCTTTTTTATATTGGCCATTATTTTATCAGTTTACATAAATGTCAGTTCTACTGCAGAAAGATTCTTGCAGATAAGCAGTGTTGCCAAGTCCGCGGAATTGGGCTACTTTAACACTGTTGCCGCGGGTTGTTGTTCATGTTGGCGGGTTGAAGCGACCCCAATAACGTGATATTTAGCCCCTGGAATGTGAATTTTACTGGAAGATCCCCGCCGAAAAACGTGTATTTTACCCCCGGAATGCGATTTTTACAGGGGAACCCTCCTCGAAACACGATTGGACTAGTTTTACTGCGAAAACCTGGCAACCCTGTTCATCAGTGTCACCTGCTGTCAGAGAGTGCGTCTCATTCAGACCTGCTGTTGTTTCGTGCAGATGTTTTATGTAGCAAATAAATAACACCTAAAGTCAGACCATTCTGTTTTTGTTTTAAATCCTGAAATTAATCTAAATCAAATCAAAAACAACTGCCCGTGCAGATCGTGATTAAAATGCAGTGGTTGCCTCTAATTTCAAATGGCTAGATATTTTTGTTTAAAGCCAGTTTGTTTGTTATAAAGCAAATAGCCAAAAAATAAATTTGCTTAAAAATCAATATCAGTATCAGAATCCAATTTGCTAGTTAAAAAAAAAGAAAGAAAAGAAAATCTGAATTCTGAATCAGCTATGACCGGCGCATCACTAATTAAAATACTAAGTAAAAGGCCTCAAATTTGAAGCACAATCTGGGATGTCTTTTTCTATCAATTCTTCAATAGGTAGATCTTGTCTTTCATAAAGGCCGAGGTCATGGATCTTGGGCCTAAAAAGGATGGTGACCACTGCTTTACAGCATCATGTAACTGTTTGTCCTCTAGTGGTAAAAAAATAAATAAAACTGCATGCGTCATGAATGTTTTAGTTGTTGTTCGCCTCTGCACTGGTGTACACATGCAAAACTAAAAAAATAAAATAAAATGTTATCTGAGCAGGTGCCATATTTAATGCGCTTTTTTTTGACTTATTGGAAACATTGTCAAACATTTGTGAAATGAAAAACATTTTCAAACTGGCATAAGAAAAGTTTAGAGGTCATTAATTGAAGCTTTATACACTTGTGCATCCCGTTTATGTGCTCGCAGATCTCCTCAAACCTTACCAATCTATTATCTATACTTTCAATAACCTCCTACGAGAATTATTACACACTCCAATACATGAGTTAGCTTTTTTTGTTTACAGATTTACGTATTTGCGAATTACGTAGGCCTATGCAGTTTCCCACGAAATCCATCCCTACTATTCTTAAATATGAACCATTAGGCACATGACATTGGTTTTGACTTTATTTTATCCACCTTATTTTTCCCGTAAGTGCGGGTGAGGCCATTTGTAAATTTAATGGGTCTGGCTTCCGTTGTCATTCGCTTCCAGCTGTTTTTAGCTGTACAGAACAGCTCGTTTTGCTGCTTGATATTGCAAGCTGGTGTGTCTTACCATATTATTTTAATGTATTAGATTAATTATGAACACACTGGTTTGTAGTGCAAACTGTTTTACCGTTGACTGCACTTTGTTATTCTAACCTGAAGTCTCGCACATTCACAGAAAAGGTGGATAAGACCTTCAATTCCACAAATCCTCACAAATTATTGTTTTTATAACTATAAAAGCTCTTTTTACGCAATCTTAATGTTATATTACGTATGTCATGTTTATCAAAATAAAACAAAATACGCAACTCTTATTATTAAAATAATTTAGAATCAATCTAATTTAATCTAGAACTTTCTTCATGTACATAAAGGCACTGTGTTAACAACCTGTAGAATGGAAAGTGTTTCTGGACGCTACATGTAAAATTCACACGTCTTTCTATCTGAGAAATATTAATCCACTGCTTCTGTGATAATCACTGCGCAAGTGTACGGGAATCAGAAAGATATGAGGGGCCATATAGGTCATAATTATTGAAAAGCCTCTTACAAACACGAGTGAAATGAAAAATATTGATCAACCATAGTGAAATTCATTCATACATTACTGAAAAACCTCTTACATACACTAGTGAAAACACTGATTAACCTTCGTGAAATACATTTATATGCAGAATTGAAAAACCTCTTACAAACACGAGTGAAACTAAAAGATCAACCTTAGTAAAATACATTCATACGCATAACTGAAATTAGAAAAGATTTCAGTAGTTGATGACCGCTAATTTCACTTGAAACGGAAGCTGTGCCCACAATAATTTGGCGCGTATCTCACTAACTCTTTTAGGCAATGGCGGTTAGTCGTAATGAGTTGTCTGAAGAAATATTTTAAGCAACATTTTACAGTCACCAAGTACAATTCCTTCTCTTACATCGACTTTGTCTGGGAAGCCAAACAAACCGAAAGTGGCACGAAACAAAATAGGCTACATATTAACAGGGCCGGATTAAAGGTGAGTGTAGCCTATTTTGTAGAAAGTAATGTTGAATTTTAATAAGCTGAATTTCTGCAAATTATCATAGTTGAAGACTGGATCAAATTTTAAGTCACAACAAAGTTCACACGTTCCCCACACGTAGTTTGAGAGATTACTATTGTGCAAAATGACTTGTGAGTCACACAATATTTAACATTTGAGACGCATTTAGCAAACTCCAAAAGTAAAAGTCTGAGGATCACCATGAGATTAAATGTTGAGAACCAGGTAAAAGTGTTCATCCAGACATCCTAAAAACATGCCATGTTATACCAGCGACAGGGCAGTTAACAGAAGGGAACAGCCAGGAATGTTGCCCTAAGCCCCCACTAAAGTCCTCTAATGGCGCTTTTCCACTGCGTGGTACGACTCGGCTCGGTACACTCACAGGGCCTCATCAGAGGCGGCCCACTCATAGAAACTAGGCCCTGTGAATTTGAGCCAGGAGGAAGGACACAAACATTGTGGTCTAAAGATGGCCCTCAATACAAGACTATGATGTGTACTATGAGGAAACAGCCTTCAGTTTGGTAGAAAATGTGCAAAGCTTTCAATAATCGGAACAAATAATCTGATGTCTGTTGACATAAGTTTGACCATGCTTGTCCTAATAAAATTTAACGAGTTTGTTTGCCCATATAATCTTTAGGAAATTGTGTGTAAACTTATTAGGCTTGCTGTCCACTTATGAGGGGCTCGATGAAGCAGCTTCAACTCGAGCTCTGATATACCCCCCCAGGGACTTGATATAGGATGATTACAAAGGGCAAGGTACCTAAGATGAAGGTGGAGATTGGGGAGGTGGAGGGATGCTGGAACAGCTGAGACTGGAGAGAGGTAAGCAGCTGCTTATATACTCTGGCTGTTGACTGAAAGATTAGATGGGCTCGCTCCTCCCTAACTTACATTTAGGAACTTCATATAAAATTATGAATCTCATTTTTGAAGAATTTGTGTAAATTCACAGGCAGAACCTGAGAGTAGATTTCTATGTAAACAGCATTATGGTTACTTTTAATTTGACTTATGGACCTTTTTCACATTTCCGGATTTCTCAGCAGCAGAAGTCGTCATACATCTATAGCAGTGATTAGGGGACTATACCACCAATATATGTTCTGCATTCCCATTTGCTCAAATAGCAAAAAGAAAAACTCCATGATAGTGTTTTCATGACTTCCAAAAAAAGGAAAAAAAAAAAAATATATATATAGAGAGAGACTGTTAACGTCAGTCAGTAGAGAGAACGATGTCAAATTTACAGTCACTCCGATAGACGCTGTATTAGAAACACCCTCGCATTAGCGTTAACTAGTTTTTTTTGTGTGTAATTTGATGCAAAGGTAATAGAATTCAAAGTATAGTGTTATAAATGTACATACATTTAAAAAAAATGTGAAAATACAAAAACTTTTGGAGGATTTACGATCCTGATCACAGTCTTGTGAAAAGGGTCCATTTTGAGCATGACTTTTGTAGTTGGAATGTATTTTTTTATTGCCTTACCTTTGAAAGCAAACATGCCACTGATATGAATGTTTTAAAGGGGATGGGCTTTTCACATGTTTCATAATACTGCCTCACTGCAGCGATGCAAGTTAATGTACTGTAAATTACAAAACATTTGCTAGGTCCTTGAATGTGTTACTTCAGGAATAAACAATCTCTAAATGCTGTCATCTATTTATTAATCTCATAAATTATCATTACTCTTTCAAATTATGATGCATTATGTGGTAAAACTGAGGTAAGCTCAAGTGAGGAGGCTACATGTCCATGTCAAACTGTATTTTTTAAGCCTTTTCAATAGCTGATGAAGGTTCCATGACCAAAATGCACCAATAAATATTGTGTTTTATTTATAGGGTACATATTAGTTCCTAAAGGGTACATATGTATCATTTAGGTATTAATACAAATTAGGGGTAAATAGGATACAAAGTTGTATCTTTTTAAAGGGTACCGCCCCAGTGCAAGGTTATCATAGTCTTGAATTTTTAAATTAGTTTTATTTTAATATAGTTTTCAAATTTGCTATAAAATTCAGTTTAGTTTTTATTAGTTTAATTAATATTTTTGTTTGTTTTAGTTTAGTTTTTATATAGTTTAGTTTAGGGCTGCACGATAAATCGCATGCGATATCAGTAAAGCCGTTCTGTAATTAGCGGTAAATCTCCATCA